TAAACGGTTAATCTCAAGGAACTAGGAAGCTGAGAGTTTGAATAATGCTGCAACTATATGCCGCTTGAACACTTTTGAAGAACCTGGGACCGCGAAACTCTTAGTTACTTTGTTATATAAACTTCCAGCACGAAACGTAAAGCTTTTGGCTCTAACATTTGTTCTAGGCCTAGCAAGAAATATTTTGATTGGACCTCCTCTAGTCCGAGAATGCACTGTTTTGTAGAGTTCAAATGGGCCAAACTCATTACAGTGGTACAGAAGCTTATGAACCATACATACGTCAAATACTTTGCGCCGTGATTCAAGAGTATCGAGATTGAAATGTCTATTCCGAATGGCAGCGTTTGGAATCCTAGAATATTGAAAACTTCCACTTCGTAACAGAATCTTGCGTGTGAAATTGTTTTGCACTTTTTCTATTGCTTCAGCGTCCTTTCTCCTGATGGGGTGAAACACAGTAGCGCCGGCCTCAACAAGGGGGCGGATATATGTTGTCTTATAAGCAGCAATATAGTTTTTGTACGTTTGTTTCTCTTCGGAAACCGAATCTTCATGCGTGAAACTTTGTGTGCTATTTCCAGTGATCACAACTGACACATTCATGTTCAAGAAAGAATGCAAGAATTTTCCGCGAAGGATTCCTTTACCCAAGGCTTGACTGTCAGTAATAGCCATGGAAATTGGTTATTTATCAAAAGGGCAACAGTGAGAAATACTGAAAGAGAACTTGAAACCCAAATTCAAGAAACCAGCCGAAAAATCAAAAGTCTGCATACAGTTTTCCTCGTGATTCTAATTACAGTAATGGCCCGTGGCGAGGAAATTTCACTCTCAATAAGTTTTTTCCCTAGGAATGAACAAAGAAATATTACGTTTGAACTGGCGAACTGGGCAATTTGCAAAGTCTTACACCGGCCTAAGGTAACCTATTTAGTCTGCAGAGCTAACTCGGTCAAACGAAGGGCGGATGCGAGGAGAGTGGGAGAGTAATGAAATTCGAAAACCCTTTGTCCACTGTGTTAATATAATTGAATCAAAGGCGGGTTGTACGTTTAAATGGCATCCTATCAGAAACTAAGTAGAAATGGTCAATGTTGCACCGAAGAGAAAAAAAAAACAAGAAAAACGGTCAAAATCCCGGGAAATGGGACCCCCTCCTTGCCCGTTGATTTCCTCATTGATGCGATCAACAATACATCGGGGTACCCTCTTCAACGCTGACGCTCTCATTGCCGAACTGCTAGAGGTACAGATAGCGAGCGTGGAGCGTACCGCGCCGATATTGCGCCGAAAGCGCCGTGGGGAAGGCCATGTTAGATCGCCAGGAACACATCCTCCGATGCTAATGGCATGTCGGTCCGCGCCCTTGTGATTAGGGGGCCACCTCCACTCAGTAAGTCTTTCTTTCTTCTACCTTCGTTCTTATCGTGGAATCCTACACTGCCTTCTTGTCAAGAAACCCTCGACATTGGCTTCCCACATTCCGAGGACCATGGCTAGCCTGAGCAATACCATTCGCGAAACGCCTATTACTGTCTTTCGTCCCCAATAGATTGTAATACATTATATAGTAAACATAATTGAAATACCAAATGAAACATATAAGTCAGCGAAAACTCTATCATTTTCTCCAGTTTATGACCACCAGATCACTCACGACACTATGCGGGCATTTTGCGCGAGACCGCCAAATCTCGAATATCTGAAACGGGTTATGAGAATTAACAAACCCAACTGGCATGCAGAGCGGCCACGCGTCTCTTGGATACGTCTCTTTTGATTCCGCCTGGAAGCCGTAAGTGGTTTTTTGCCTTGTTTCCGAAATTTGCCCTAGAGCAAAATGTAGGATATTTGTAGAAATGCGGCAAGTTGTGGCAGTGATAGTATCAACAGTCTGTACGAGATGGACGATGGCTGGATCTGCAGGAAATGTGCAGCGCAGTCGGCGAAGCATCAAATCCGTGTGGATCGCGTACCTATTGAGCTTCCGGTGAGAATTGAAAAATTTCGCCTGAGGAGAACTCTCCTGAGGATCTGGAACTTGGTTGAAATTTCAAACTTTAAGAAATTTCATGCAGAGATTTGAAAACTCTCTATCACTTGCAAATCTTGTCTCGCTTGAAGCTGCTGAGAGATTCTGCACTACGACTATATTTGCCAATTTGCACATTTGCTTTATTTTATGAAAATGCTGGATCTGGCAAGGATAAAGTGAGATCGTCTCCAAACACAGCCAAGGGCTGCGTGCTGAATGTGGATAAAGAGTCTGCTGGGAAACCCTCAACGATTGTATCATATGTGGTTCACGTAAGGGAGTGGGGCTGAAAGCTTGTGAGCCAGCGGCAAAAGGCCGAGGGTCAAGTGGTGTACACGTCCTTATCCTTCCAGGCAGGTCTGGTATGCATTTTTCAAGCTACTTCGCTGGAAATGAAAGGTTCGGGCACTTGAACAGGACTCGGTCCGAAAACGTGCTACATGTGTGGCGCCGCTTGCCATCGCACCATCTGACCCCCACCATCCGCAACCCTACTTCAATGTGTTGGGGAACCTAATAAACTGTAGTCGAAATCTTGTCAAATTTGATGTGTACGTAGATGAGATATCCTGTCTGGATGATTGCTGTTCAAAGGCCTGTGCCAGTAGAGGAGGTAAAGGAAGATGTACAAGGTTGAAGGTCGAAGAAGAAGAAACTTAGTGGGAAGACAGGCGGACCACCTGAGGGTGCGGCCCGACACGCGATTCGCCGCATAGGATATGCCCTGGCGATCTATCATGGCCCTTTCCGCAGCGATATCAACGTGGTACGCCTCGCTCTAGCTGTCTAACCGGTTGGCTATTAGGTAGAGAGAGAGCGTATGCGTTGAAGCGGGCAGCACCGGTGATAATCGCGTCTGTGCGGAAATCAGCGGACAAGGAAGGAGCCCCATTTTCCAGGCCCTACCCCATTTTTTCCCACTTTTTATCTTCCTTGCAATAGCCATCTCTAACTTAAAGGACGAATTCACGATGAAAAAGCAACCCATTTCAAATTAACCTAGGGATGGTGAGTGGTACACGAAAGAAGGAAGAACCATGAGAAACGGCCCAGAACCCGAGAAATGGGACCCCTTCCTTGCCCGTTGATTTGAGCATTGATGCGACTCTCATCGCTGTGCCCTCTTCAACACTACGCTCTCTCAGCTATCTAATCACTCGCCACGTATTGAACTACGGCGAGTGATCAGATGATCGGTGGGCGGAGATCGCCGGACCCGCCAGCTTTGAGGCATGATAGGTCGCCGAGGTCAAATTTTTCCATGCGAATTGCGCGTCAGTTCGCACCCTCAGGAGGTCCGTGGGTCCCTCAACTAGGTCAGTTTCCCTTTCTTCGACCTTCATTCTAATCGTGAATTCCTCCTTTAATTTTTAATGGGCTGCCTTTTCATCGTAGAAGCTGTCTTTGAACTAATACCCGTTGGCAATTATCTTGCAGAAGCTTATCATTTAACCCAATTAGCTTCTCATTGAGTGCTTTTTTAGTTTGCTCTCCCTCCCGGTATCACCACCTACGACGTGTTGCCTTCGATTCTTCCCTTGCCGCTAGTCAACTTCTACACAAAGGTCTGTCGTGGTTTACCATATGGCATGGCTCACCCCACTAGGCCTACATTATTCCATTGCAGCATGCCGCTGTAAAACTCATTGAGCAAGCTTTGGGCCACATTGAGCTTCTTGAGTGTCCTGGATGTAAACAAGCCGTCGAACTCTGTGAACCAAACGGTATTCTTTGTAAAACACAAATCGATTGTTTGCAACGACGTGCTTTTATTTATTCAGAGTATAATTGTGCTCTGTGTGTCTGCGGAATTGTATGGTGTACAGTTTGCAAGAAGGAACCACACTGGCCAATGACGTGCGACATGGCGGCCGAATGGAGGAGGCGATGGACACATCGCAGTGAGTCCTTTGAAAGACCCATAGGACATATTCCCCTGAAAGCATCTTCACTCATCCTATTGGAAGGAGCCCACTGACTGAGAGGCAGAATATACGACACAAATTGTTCGCTACCTCACGCAGTATTATGGCTGCCAGTCTCACCATCCTTTCTATCTACAGTTTGGGTCAAAATTACGGTAACAATAGCGAGCGGCCAGCAATTTTCAGTTTTAGAACCAGCGATTTTTGGTATAATTCTAAGTCCTTATTTTGATAATTCAATAATCCATCTTTGATTTCGTCACATGGAATATATTACTGACATGGGCAAGCCTTCAATTCCTCAAGAAGCAAGTACTACTTTACCCCGACGAGCTGAATTACATTGCAAGGCTATTCAAAAAGGCCCCATGAAACTTCCATCGCTCTCCATCACAAACTTCAGTGGCCTATTCACACCACCGTTCGAGCTGAATGTGAGGGAATACCCCTGCGTCTCCACGAGCTATCTCGCAATATCTGTGAAGAAGCGCTGAAATCCAGCTTGTTGAATCCGTCACTTGCTCGCTGAAGCGGCCATCAAGCGTACTCCCTTTCAAAGTACTGTTCAAACATGGGAATTCCTGAGTTGTGGAAATAGGCATTGTCTCGATTCCATGAGGAGCATTATTCAACAATCGCCCCCCCCCCCTCTTGATGAGAAGATATTCTGCTGTCTCGAATAAGGAAGGTAGTGCTAGGGGAAAACCAACCAGCCACTCGGATAAAGGGTTGCCGCACATATCATAGGGACAAGAATAACGAGTTGGAGACACTTCAGACTTCTGCTGCTCGAAACACAAATCTGAACAGAAAGAACCATCTCAAACTTCTTCATTTTCTGGTGCTTCAGACCATCAGGATTCAACAGGAAACACAGAGTATCACATCAGGATTGGGCGCCAACCCACAATGCCGGGATTGCTCAAAAATTGATGCTAACAGAATGCCGTGGAACTCAAATCACTTGAAGACGAGGCATTACAGCTCTCTCAGCTCGAGTCCCATAAAATGTTCTATATTGAGTGGGCCGGAGGCATGCTATGGCTACAAGCATAATAGAATCGACGATTATTTGAGCAGTCGGTCTTGAAAGCCAACGTAATTGAACCGACTCGACAACACGTGCGTAAACAACAATATCGGCGACTTTCTAGGAGGTCATCGTTATGCATCAATGCAGAAACAGCCACTCTAGGGAGTAATATTGTTCCCTACTGTGAATTTCTGACTTTGTGGCCACATTGGTTTTTTATGACCAACTCACCTTGTTGCCGTAATTTTTGCCCATCCTGTATGTATACTATTTTCGCCCTGTTCGGAATTCTTATAAATATGAGTTCCTCATAAAGCTTGATGCAATCACAGCACGTCAAGTTTTCAGAACTCGATGATAATCGTCGAACTCAGTGGTAGAAGACAAGTTACATGCTGCTGCCTTGGTCCTCCAATTGTGGTGAGTTCGATGTTTTCGAGTGGGCAGTTTTGAAAACGAAACAGGCTGTCATATGAATAGGGCATTTCCTTATTACGTGAATGTGATGGGTGTAATGATTCTCCTGGTTGAGAGTCATTCAGCTTGTATGGAGCCGAACCTGGGAATCCTAATCAGTCAGTTTTGCGCTCGTTGAAATCGAGCGTTTCACAATTTTAATCGGGTCAAAAGAATAAAAAGGGTAAGTCGAGAGTCGACTGCGCGTCGCAGTCTTAAGAAACAATCACTCCACTTTTTTGTTTTGATTTGGTCTGACAATGGAGGTCTTTCGGGGCAAGGTGCACTTTTTCAAAACGGTTTACCATCGGCTGGCCCCCGCAAGTGATTGTATATGCACATCCATCAACTTGCACGCCAGCCTAACGAGCATGGGACATTAAGCTTGTAAAATGGAAGTAGAATGCGATGCGCGCAATGCCCTCGACCGCAAAATGGGATTGATGACGCAACGGCAATGGTGTTATATCCTTGTCTCGCTTGAAGCTGCTGAGAGATTCTGCACTACGACTATATTTCATGCACATTTGCTTTATTTTATGAAAATGCTGGATCTGGCAAGGATAAAGTGAGATCGTCTCCAAACACAGCCAAGGGCTGCGTGCTGAATGTGAATAAAGAGTCTGCTGGGGAAAAAAAACCCCTCACGATTGTATCATATGTGGTGTCACGTAAGGAGGCGGGGCTGAAAGCTTGTTGAGGCTAGCCAACGAGCCGAGGGTCAAGTGGTGTACACGTCCTTATCCTTCCAGGCAGGTCTGGTATGCATTTTTCAAGCTACTTCGCTGGAAATGAAAGGTTCGGGCACTTGAACAGGACTCGGTCCCAAAACGTGCTACATGTGTGGCGCCGCTTGCCATCGCACCATCTGACCCCCACCATCCGCAAACCCTACTTCAGTGTGTTGGGGAACCTAATAAAGTGTATCCGAATCATGGTCAAATTTATGTCGTGGCGTAGATAAGATATCCTGTTGCTGGATGATTGCTGTTCACTAGGCGCTAGTGCCAGTAGAGAAGGTAAAGGAAGATGTACAAGGTTGAGGTTCGAAGAAGAAGAAACTTAGTGGGAAGACAGGCGGACCACCTGAGGGTGCGGCCCGACACGCGATTCGCCGCATAAGATGTGCCCTGGCGATCTATCATGGCCCTTTTTTTGTTGTTTCCGCCGCGATAGTCAAAAGACGTGGTACGCCTCGCTCTAGCTGTGTAATCGGTTGGCTATTGGGTAGAGAGAGAGCGTATGCGTTGAAGCGGGCAGCACCGGTGATATCGCGTCTGTGCGGATATCAGCGGACAAGGAAGGAGCCCCACTTTCCAGGCTCTACCCCATTTTTTCCCACTTTTTATCTTCCTTGCAATAGCCATCTCTAACTTAAAGGACGAATTCACGATGAAAAAGCAACCCATTTCAAATTAACCTAGGGATGGTGAGTGGTACACGAAAGAAGGAAGAACCATGAGAAACGGCCCAGAACCCGAGAAATGGGACCCCTTCCTTGCCCGTTGATTCGAGCATTGATGCGACTCTCATCGCTGTGCCCTCTTCAACACTACGCTCTCTCAGCTATCTAATCACTCGCCACGTATTGAACTACGGCGAGTGATCAGATGATCGGTGGGCGGAGATCGCCGGACCCCCAGCTTTGAGGGCGCATGATAGGTCGGGTGAGGTCAAAATATTTCATGCGAATGTGCAGTCATACTATGTTTTCTAGCGTTTTATACCCTCAAGCCTTAGGAGGACTTTACGATTAGAATGAAGGTCGAGGAAGAAGTAATTCAACTAGTTGAGAAGGCCACGGGGGGGGGGAGGGAGGGGAGGGTGGGGCGGCGGGGGCGGGGACCTTCTGAGGGTGCGCCACTGAGGCGTCCATTCGCATGCGGGAAAAAGAGGTTTGAACTCTGGATGACGCTAATGTATGCCTCAAAGTTGTCCTGGGTCTGGCCCGAATCCTCCGTGCCCATACAAGGAAAGGGGCATCAAAATGATCACGTCGCTGCGAAGAGGCTAATACGGTGAGGATTTGATTTAGAATAGCTAAGAGAAGAGCGTGAGAAAATGTTAGAGGAGGGCAGAAGCGCTAAGGAGTGCATCCAATGAGCCACAAGTCCAAGCAGAAGCGGACGAGAGGGGTCCCCATATATCTGGGATTCCTTACGGACCGAGTCTTCCTCACATGCGCTCTCCTTCCCCTTTCGTGTACCAACTCAGCTCATCCCCCCTCCGAGGCCTAACTTTGCCAATGGTGATTGCGGCGTTCCCAGCCCAGTGACCCTCGCGGTCCTTTAAAAAGAATGATGCAGTCAAGACAGGCAAAAATTTACGTGCGTCCCCAGTCATTGATCTTTCTTCTGGGGCCCATAGAAATAGCAGCTTTGGACCAAGCGTCCTGCGAACATCTTTGACCCTACTGTTAGTAGGTGAGCGCGGGGTAGCCGAACGGTAGGGTCGCGACACGTATTACATAGTCACGACACTTATGTTCCGTCTCTTTTCTTCCAGAAGCTCCCCCGATGGCGGACCCTTCCAGCATGATCTAGCATGTCTTTTCTTCCTATTCCACCTACACATCTCAGCCGACATCTACCCGCTGCGCCATTAACCCCTACGACATCTACACAGGACCCCTCAAGCAACTTGATCCTTCCCCAACAACTCCAGTTCTTGAAACATGCGTGCGCCTGGTACAACTTAAGGGCGCGGCCACCCCACACGACGACAGGAAAAGCCAATGCACTCCACACGCGCTCCTACGAACCCTCGCGCAATGAGCATCCCTTCTGTCCTCTGATTGTTAGTATCGATCTTTCTTTTGCACTTTTTCCCTCAGACCTGCACTCATTCATGGGCCATCTCTCATCCACTCAGATTTCCAGTACTCTGTCTGATCCTGACCCACATCACCCCGCCGTATGCAACGTGCGCCCGCCGCAGTGATCTAGCCATCAGCCGAAACTCGTCCACGCGCGCCCGGGGCGCTAACTGCGCCCCCACGAGGGGACTAACCCGCCAAAGCTTAAAATCGACCCCACCGTCAGGTTCAACCCTTGTTCGTCGTGCATAATCTGCCGATCGACCTGCGCACACAGTTCGCACAGGCTCTCCCTTACGCGCTCCTTCCCCCACCCCAAACCGCAAATTCCACTCAACCCCCCACCTATTACTTCGACCCTCGTTCTCAATTGAAGGATTCACTTCCTTTGAGACTTTTGTTGAGCCCTTATACACCTAGGTTAAAATCACTCGCTGGATCAGTAGCCACCACATACAATAGCAGATTACCAGTTAGTTACTGGACTGCAC